TCCCTCCCTCCCTCCCTCCCTCCCTCCCTTCTTCTTCTTCTCTCTCTCTCTCTCTCTCTCTCTCTCTCTCATACACATTTAAAAATAAAGCTTAATAAAATCAACTTGACAAGACGGTTAAGAAGCAGCGAGGCATGGTACAGGCAAGGGGATCCGCAGTTCAAGGCTTCAGCGATGGAGGGAGCTTACAGGTCAGCCTGGGCGACAAGAGACCCTATTTCAATCAATCAATCAGTTTAAGAAGCGATAGGGCACAGGCACTAACAGCCCGATCAGAAAGAGGGGCACGCAGTCCTTGAAGACGCCCCCCCCGGGGGGGGGTGTGCAGAAGGGAGTCCCAAAAAGTACTTGAGAGGTAGAGATGGGTGATGTGGTGGGCGGGCAAATGGACACCCGAAGGCAGTAACAACTAACTGTCACTCAGCTCTAGGAGTATTTCAGTGTTCTATCGGTGAAGCCGGTCCTGGTGCAAAACCAGTCAACTCTCAGCTCGGTCTACATCCCTCAGCACGGTCAGCTTTGCTTTAGGGGCTTGTGCAGATCTCTACCAACCGAGGCCAAGGTCTGGGCACCAGAGTCGGAGCCTAATTTCTGTCACTCAAGCAGGCTCTGTCTACAATCCCTGTATCCCACTAGTTATCTGGGCTGTAGGAAGAGTGTCCACACAAAGCATGCACCTGGGACGCCACCCTCAGATCGTCTACGCCCTCCCCTCCCCAGACTTCAGTTTCTCCATCATCTCAGGATTGGACCACAATCTCCAAGGTGGCTTTAGCTCTGAAATTCAGTCCAATAATAAAACTGCCTTAAAAGCAGTTCCAATTTGTTGAGGAAGGTACATGGTAGCTGAAGAAAAGGATTCTTCTCCTGTTTTCCAAAATAATTTGTCATGGTTGGACTGAGTTGGTTTTTTTCCCCCTTAACAATGTGATAATGGCTCCATTTAGGAGCTAGCTATGGCTCCTGTAACTAATACAACCATTTTATGTTCTTCGTAAGTCTCATTTTTTCTGAGAGAGAGAGAGAGAGAGAGAGAGAGAGAGAGAGAGAGAGAGAGAGAGAGAATAACAAGACTGTTTTATTTTAGTAGTAATATATTTTTCCACCAGGAGGTGGTGGCACACCCCTTTAATCCCAGCACTCGGGAGGCAGAGGCAGGTGGATCTCTGTGAGTTCGAGGCCAGCCTGGTCTACAGAGCAAGTTCCAGGACAGGCTCCACAGCTACACAGAGAAACCTTGTCTCGAAACTGCCCCCCCCTCCAAAAAAAAAAATTCCAAGTTTATCTGCAGCAAACAGTGATTTTTCAAACTATTTCTTGAAACGCGTTCAAAATTGCAAATAATGATTTAGAATAGAGGAAGCGGGTGGGGAATTAGCCACCACATTATTGAGCTCTGTTCTGAAAAACAGTCCATAGCTGAAAACCTTCCGACTCTCCTTCTCTTAAACTGGTTGCAGACAAGGAAAGACATCCATTAAAAAGATATGCAGCAAGGGCTGGAGAGATGGCTCAGAGGTTAAGATCACTTACTGATCTTCCAGAGGTCCTGAGTTCAATTCCCAGCAACCACATGGTGGCTCACAACCATCTGTAATGAGATTTAGCGCCCTCTTCTGTATACATAATAAATAAATAAATCTTAAAAAAAAAAAAGATATGCAGCAAGACTAGATAGTTATAATTTCCTTAGTTATGATAAAAGATAAGTTAGATATAAAACCTTAGACTCACAAATATAAGATAGATAGGATATCTTCTTTATTTGCCAAATACAGATAGACTAGATATTGTAACTGTAATTCTTGCTTGATAATTGTTCTGTTATATGTAATTTTACTATGTGAAAGTTAAAACCTTCCTTTTGGAAAAAAAAAAGCGGGGGGGGGGGTAGTGCTGTAGATATCACTTTGTATAAATAAAATGCTGATTGGCCAGTAGCCAGGCAGGAAGTATAGGCGGGACAAGCAGAGAAGAGAATTCTGGGAACAGGAAGGCTGAGTCAGGAGTCGCCAGGCCAGACACAGAGGAAGCGAGATGTAAAAGTACCGGTAAGCCACGAGCCATGTGGCAACTTATAGATTAATAGAAATGGGTTAATTTAAGATATAAGAACAGATAGCAAGAAGCCTGCCACGGCCATACAGTTAATAATAAGTAATGTAAGTCTCTGTGTGTTTACTTGGGTCCAAGCAGCTGGCTGTAGGGCTGCAGGAGCTGAACAGAGCCAGGAAAACTTTAGCTACACCTATTCATCATTAGAAGGGACACCCTGCCTGAGCTTTGTTGAGTTGCTGGCCTTCAGTCTGCAATTACCTTCATTGCAAACTCGTGGACTCTCTCACCAGCCCACACGGGATGTGTATGCGCATCCACCAAACCTGCAACCAGAGTTGAGAAACGAAAGGCGTTTAGACAGTGCCTGACCCACGGTATCCAGTGCTCTGAGCGCATGGTGGGAGCCGCCCCGCTTGGAGAAGGTGTGAGCACAAGACTTTGAGCAGTTCCCTCTACGCGGCTGGTCCAGAAAGTTCTGACACAGGAGAGTCACTCAGCACCACACAAATGTCCCTCAGAGAGATCCAGCTCGGTTGTTCAGTAACTGCGCCCTCCCCAAAGAAACCTTGAAGCTAGGCTGGCAAAACTATTCACTGAGCAAAACTGAGACCACGGACTAGAAAATACACACTCGGCTACTTTGAGAAAGGACTGTCAGGAAGGTACAAGCAGCTTCAAGAAAGAAATAAAGAGGAGCTGGAGAAATGGCTCAGTGGTTAAGAGCACAGGCTGTTCTTCCAGAGGTCCTGAGTTCAATTCCCAGCAACCACATGGTGGCTCACAACCATCAATAATGAGATCTGGTGCCCTCTTCTGGCCTGCAGGCTTACTGTATACATAATAAATAAATAAATAAATCTTAAAAAAAAAAAAAAAAGAAAGAAAGAAAGAGATCTGTAGTCACTTTACAAGGATGTCACATTGGCAAAGCAGAACTTCAATACCTGGAGCCCCAGGTACTTTGGAACACCTTTAAAAACAAACCGACTGCCTTCCTCTTCACTGCCCTAGAGCCACCGTTAAATTGTTGTCGGAGTTTAAGAAACAGAGCGTCAGTACCTGGTAAGACGCATTTCCCAGAGCAATCAATTCTTTCTTCAAAGGTGTCTCCAGAAAACTGTCTTTGGATAGCGTCAGCAGGGCCGATAGCTTTTATAAACCCATCACTGGAAAAACAAACAAACAAGAAGAAATAGTTACTAAGTTTGGGGAAATTTTTCTGGAAACTCTGACGAATGATTTGAACGAGCTTTTGGATGCCCTGGAGTTAGCCAACCCTTACTGTAGGTCCCCTTTGACCTGGGTTTTTAGGAAAGAGATGGTGGCGATAGAGAAGACGAAAGTCAAACCATGTGTAGAAGAGGTTGCTAGTTTCTTCTCTAAGATCAGCGTTCCACTTCCCCACAGGACTGGATCCCTAAATGATGCCTGAACACAGCTCCTCTGCTGTCAGAGGCATGCCCAGTTGGCATGAAGCTGAGTTAGCCAGGCGCCACAGGGGGCCCTGCAGGGAGTGGACCGTTCAAGCCCACGGCTTCGATGCTTCCGGAATGCTGTTGTGTTTTAGTGAGGGAGATTTCTGTCTGCGTCAGCTTGTGTGGGAGGATTCTGAGAGTACAGAGCTCTCTTCCCAACCGCACTAACCACAGGGCTCTCCACCTTCTAAGAATGTGGGCTGCCACTCAGTGGTAGGTTCCTGGTGTCATGTTTGAACAAAACACACATCCAATAACATAGTTCTTAAAGGAAGCTAGAATTCATCTTCCAAAGGGGTTAGGTTTTTGTTGTTATTGCCCCTTTAGTGGCCGTTGAACTTTCTTAGCTGAATTTTGAGATTTCACCATTCACTACTAAGTGGGGGGGAAAGCATTAAAATAATACACATCCATCCCTTCTCTTCAGACGTGTGGGTATTTGTGTGTTTTTAATTTCAGAAAAGAACTGAAAAACAAAGCATCTAAACTACGTGTTAGCATTAATTCCCTAATGCAGGGTTTGAGTGATTTTGCAGGTCAGCTGGTGTGTGTGTGTGTGTGTGTGTGTGTGTGTGTGTGTGTGTGTGTGTGTGTGTGTGTTGATACAGGGTCTCATTGGCTGTCGTAGAATTCACTTTGTAAATCAGGCTGGCTTTGAACCACCTGCCTCTGCCTCCAGAGTGCTGGTATTAAAGGCATGAGCCACCATGCCTGACAACATAATGCACACCGCAGGTGCTTTTTGAACGAAGAAAAAAAAAGGGGGAAGGATGTGATGTTACTGTTATTTAAAAGTATTTTTTAGTTCTTATTTTTTGAGACAGGGTCTCCTGTGCAAACTCTACATGCCGCCAAGGATGGCCTTGGACTACTGACCTCTCCTTTTGTATCCTGAGTGCTGAGATTGCAGATCTGGTGTCATCGATGATGACCGCGATGAAAGACGCTCTGAAGGTGTTTTGTTGGGAGAAAGAGCTTCTAGCTCTGGTACCCCCACCCCCAGCCTGTCCCCAGCTACTCACGTGCCCACCACCAGGCTGGCGCCCTCCAGCACCGCCAGGCTGCGCAGCGCCGGCCCGGCCAGGTAGCGCTCGCCGCGGGCGCACACCAGCACCACTTGCTGCGCGTTCTCCAGCAGGAGGCGGTGGCTGTTCGCCATGGTCGTCCTAGCTGCTGGCGGGATGCAGAGGACGGTAGAGTCCCGGGTGGCCTGGGGCTCCCGGGAGGGGCGGGGCCGCGCGGGGCGGGGCGGGGCGGGAGCTGGCTAGCAAGAGCAGTGCCAACAACAACCGCTCTTTGCAATAAACTCGACTGTGGACGCCAGTCCTTCCAGGTCTCCTTTTCAGGTTTTAGGTAAAGGAGGTCAGGATTATAGCCACCATCACTCCCAACCCCTAACTTTTGGATCAAATAAATTTCTGAAATGTAGCCACTGAAATCAAGTGGGACTAGGTAGATGCCACGGCCAAGCGAAGTGTAGTCCTTAGGGCGCGCACAGCGGACGCCAGTGGAGAGGGATCTCTGCCCCGGGGACCAGAGGTGGGGGCCTGGGATGGAGACTTAGGAGGGGACTCTGTGCGCGCAGAGTGTGTGTGTGTGTGTGTGTGTGTGTGTGTGTGTGTGTGTGTGTGTGTGTTACTGAAAGAGAGATGCACAGAGACCGAGATACGCTGTTCCGCGGGAGCGTGGGGGCCCGAACCTGCGGTGGAGGCGCAGGAGCAGGGGAGGGTGGGAGCTCTGTGCCCGCGAGGCGGCAGGGGCACGGGGCGGAGGGCTGCGGGTGCCGCGCACTGTTCGGTTGGTCAGCTCGACTCTAGGGTCCTGCTACCAGGCGGTCCCCAGGATGAAGCGGACCTGGGGCAGGGAAGGATGGAGCTGAGACGCGGGGTCTCGATTTGGTGCCACTGTCTGCTTTGCCCCTACCGCCTTCCTGAAGGATAGGTCTCGACTGTGGTCCAAACTCCTTGAGGTAAAATCGGATTCGATCTGGGTGTCCACCGCTACACCCACCCCACCCGAGTCTAGTAACCTCTACACACCGAGTGCGCTCCAGGTTGTAGACAGCATCCAGTTTGTTTAAGAAAGGCTGGCAGGCACCAGGATTTGTTCAGATTCATTTTTAAAATATTTAAAATATTTTTGATATTATAATGACATCATTTCCCCCTTCCCTTCCCTCCTTCCAAACCTCCCATGTAACCCCCTTGTTCTCTTTCAAATTCATGACTTCTTTTATCTTCTTACATATATATGGTGTGTGTGTATTCCTAAACACATAACTACAACCTGCTCAGTCTGTATAATGTTACTTGTATGTATATATTTGGGGAGCGTTTTCCTTTTTTTTTTTTTTGAGACAAAGTCTCATACTATGTAGCCCTGGCTGTCCTGGAGCTCTCTGTGTAGACCAGGATAGCCTTTAACTCAGAAATCCAACTGTCTCTGGCCACCTCTCTCTCTGTCTCTCTGTCTCTCTGTCTCTCTGTCTCTGTCTCTCTCTCTCTCTCTCTCTCTCACACACACACACACACACACACACACACACACACACACACCAGTGCTGGTATTAAAGGCATACATCACCAGCCTTATTTTATTTGGTTTCTATGGTACGTTTCATGCAAAGACAGGAACATTACTTTTGCTGACCAGCAAATACTACAGTAGAAGTGTGTGTGTATGTGTGTGTGTGGGGGGTGACAGAAAACTATGCCATGAAAATAGGCTTATTCTGCAAAACCCAAAACCCAAAGGTTAATTGTGGGTCACCTGAAAACCATTGTAAAACAGACAGCAAAATGTCTTTAGATGAGCAGATTAGAAACAAGTATCTTTTTTTAAAATTATTTTTAGAGGAAACAAATATTTTTAGCGGCACTCCATGTCCTATAAGAAAAGAGAGATGGGGGTGGATAAAAAAAACAGAAAGAAGTTAGACAATGTGAGTGAGAGACACAAAGACTACTCACAATGTAGAAACAACCACAAACATTCGTGATGGAAAGAGACAGAGAGAGAGAGAGAGAGAGAGAGAGAGAGAGAGAGAGAGAGAGAGAGAGAGAGAGAGATTAGCCAGGGGTGGTGGCGCACACCTTCAACCCCAGCACTCAGGAGGCAGAGGCAGGCAGAACTCTGTGAGTTTGAGGACAGCTTGGTCTACAGAGTGAGACACTGTCTAAAAAAGAAAAAGAAAAGAAAGGGGGAAGAAGGAAAAAATAGAAATCGTGGAGGAGAGAAATACAGTCACTTGTGCATAGAGAAGTCCCGACTTTTTATATTATAAAATTTCCGCCAAGCCGTCACATTTGGCAGGCGAACGCACCCTGCCAGGTTTAGGCGACCACAGGAATAAAGGAAGGGTTCCAACTGGGGTCCCACAAACGTGTCTTGCTCCTCGTGCTTCTGTTCTTTCTCATCTGAGCTGACCTCAGGACATCTTTGTGAAATGTCCCCAAGGCACAGCTTTCTTAGCCTTATATAGGCATAGTTGTTTCTATTTTGTGGATTCCTTTGACCTTCCGATAAAAGATAAAATGTCCGTCACTCGGGCCAATGCTCATGAATAAATGAGTTGTGGACATTCCCATTGTCCTTAGTTTATTTTAATGCTGTTTTAGGGCAGTGCCAGCAGAGGGAGTCAGGTCCGCTTTAGACACCATTTTAAACTACTTTAAAGCACTAAAAAAAAAAAAACAAAAAACAAAAAAAACACGTTAGTGCTAAGCAGCGGCCCCACAGCACTGGCTTTACGATGCGCTCACAGGGGGACTCGCTTCCACTTGACCCTTGACCTTTAGTTATGTTTTTCAGTTTGCCCAAAGGGGCTATCAGAAATGTCAACAGAAAAGTCCACACGAAAGCAGCGAGTCTGACGCCAGCATGGTGAAGAGGTCAAGCTGACAGGCATTTCCTCACCCTTCTGCTGGGTTCTGACCTTGTTAAAAGAGGCGGGCCACAGAGCAGGCCAAGGACCCAGGGGTCCCTGGCTTCTAGGTAAACAGCACACTGCTGGCTCAGATATATCCACACCATCCGAGGCCACAGTTCACAGCCTCTCCTCCTAGTATTTGTTCAGGTGGGTGGGGAGAAAACTGGAAAGGTATCGGGTCAGGGAGAACCTTGGTCTGATCCTTAGATGGATGTGGGAGATGGATATGTGTGCGCGCGCGCGCGCGCACACACACACACACACACACACACACACACACACACACACACACGGTGTGCACATATATGTGTATATATTTATATATGGTTTAAAATATATTTTTAAATATATGTAATATATATTTAATCTCCCACCAAGGGGATCTGAAAATTCATTTTCACTGGGTTGTAGGCATAGGGTTCCGAAAGCTGAATACAAATTGCTCCCAGCAGTGAGGGTCTGGTAAGGAGTGCTCTGGTTACTTGTATTTAAAATTAGTCTAGAACTCTATGATTGAGCCTATGAAACTAACTCTCACTTCCTGAGAGTCTTTTTTTTTAAAATTTTATTTTACAATACCATTCAGTTCTACATATCAGCCACGGGTTCCCCTATTCTCCCCCCTCGCACCCCCTTCCCTTTACCCCCAGCCCACCCTCCATTCCCACCTCCTCCAGGACAAGTCCTCCCCCGAGGATTGCGATCAACCTGGTAGACTCAGTCCAGGCAGGTCCAGTCCCTTCCTCCCAGACTGAGCCAAGTGTCCCTGCATAAGCTCCAGGTTTCAAACAGCCA